GGGTGGGATGGGGTGTATATAATTTAATTTTTATAATATTATTATTAAAATTTAATTAAATATAAAAAATATCTGATTTTTGAACATTTAAACCTTAAATTTGATTTTTGAACTTGAATCTTGAAAAGTAGGGATGCATGTAATTTCCATGTGAATTTTTCCATAATAAATGGACCAAACTGGACAGGGTCCAACAGTACCCGGACCGATGTCAGATTATAGGCCCAAACATTTACACTTTACACAGGGCCGCGAAGAATTGAGGGAGAGCGAGAAGTACTGAATCCCATTTCCCCAATTTCTCCCAAAATTGAAGAATCCATCTATAATTCAATCCGATGGAGGTGCCGGGTTCATCAAAGAAGATGATAGCTACACAGGAAGAGATGGTGGAGGCCAAGGTGCCAATACCATACAGAGACCAATGCGCCCATTTGCTGATCCCACTGAACAAGTGCAGGCAGGCCGAGTTCTATTTGCCCTGGAAGTGTGAGGCGGAGCGCCACACATATGAGAAGTGCGAGTATGAGCTTGTCATGGAGAGAATGCTCCAGATGCAGAAGATCCGTGAGCAAGAAGCCAAACTAAAGGGGTCTCAGAAAGGCCAGTTGCCCATTCCGCTCATCCCTAAAACAGCCGATGCTTGACTATGAAAGGTGATTTCTTTAAGCCCTTGTTAAATCTAATTGCGTGTTCTATGAAATTAATAGCATGATGATGTATTTAAATAGCCTTCTATTATTGCTGTTATTATTAATATTGTGCGTTTATTCTATATTTTTCTTAATTGTGTTCTTGATTGATGGTTTTCTTCATTTCTCAAGAAAATTTATGTTTTGCATAATCTGAATGGGAAGCTATAGTAATATTTCATCTTTCCAGGTCAAGATACAATCTATTAAACTTATGAGTGAGCCACGTTATTTTGAAAGTATGTATTTCGGAATAGTAGATTGATGGATGATATGTGGTTGAAAAAGAAAGAAAAAATATTGATTTGATGGAAAATATTATTTTTTTGAAAAATGTGTGGTTGAAAATGATTAAAAGAATGAGAAGGAGATTTTTAATGTAGCTCAAACAGGGCTTAGTGTGCTGAATCAATGTGCATTACGAAGTCTTACCTCACTCTGACTGGACGATTGAAGTATCTGAATAATCACTTATGATTACTTTGAATTTTTTATTAATGAGGTTTGAGTTTTTGATTAGTGGCATTCTCTTTTTCTTATGAATCTCTTTTTGGAGATTATCTGAGCCTTTTTTTCATAATTTTTTACTTTGATCTTATTGATGGGCTTCTCTTGTTTTTTATATGAATTATCTGGGTAACTCATATAAGTTTATTTTATGGTTTTGATTTACTGATCGATTGGTTTCTTGTGTTTATGTGGATTTGATATCGCAGTTGCTTTCTTACTACATATCTATGTTTGCCTGTTTGCTAAGTTCTATGTGATCGTTCTAATTTGAATATGTTGTCAATGAAGATTTGTGAAATTGAGGATTCACATACAAATTGTTGCCTCGTTTGTGTATATGTACTAATATTTTCTATATAATTTGTTTTGTTGCTCTGTAGGTAAAAAAAACTGGTATTTAATTTAAAATTTAATCGGTTTGGTGATAGTTTTTATCTTAGAGTCCGTTAACAATAAAGACAATGAATTCAAGTTCATCAATACTAGGTTGTTGAAGGAAAATTTGTGCTCAAGTTACCTGGTTTTGACTATATTGTTAAGCCATTTAGTTTATGGCTACTTTCTCAAATACAAGTGGTTTTCCATAAAAGTTTTGCATTTTATGATCACCTCTTCTTGTGGTTTCCCTCTTTAGTAGTCAATTAGAACTCTTGTCTATACAATGTTACTGCATTCTTATAAAATAGTCACTGGCTTGATGATGTGATCATGACCATATGAGACTGTGTTGAATAGAGGAGAAGACACTTATGTTTTATCATTTCCTTTTTTTTTGTTTAAAATAGAACAGTATGCTAATTGAATCTATATTCATGACTTATGTCACCATCATTAATCTTCGAACATGCGAGACTGATAAGCAAATGAAGTCAGTCATTTGATCTTCTGACGTAGCGGAAGATTATAGGAAAGATGAACAACCTCACAAAAATGAGATAAAACTCACGAAAATT